GGAGTGATCCTTTGCGGAACTGAGGGCTGCTCAGTGAAGGTAGAAAGAATGTGCTTCTAAAATGTTAGACCCTGATAAAGACCTGATAAAGGTTCCCCAAAATGATTAAACAGTAAACATTTAGCACTGAGATGTGTAATTACTTTTTATATTTTCCATTTGTCTCTTAGAATTTCATCATGTGTGAGTTATGATGTCACAGTAGGAGGAAAGTAATTTGAAATGAATTTTTAGTCTGAAAATATATTCTAATTCAATGCATTGCCTGACTTAATGCATCTTTAAACATACCATCTGACATCTTCCAAATATGGCCAAAAAGCTTTCTATTCTCCTCTAATCTTGACTGTCATTTTGCTATAGACAATTTATAAAATGTGCATTGTAATATACCGTTTGGAGGCAAAGGAGATTAGTGCACTTACAGAATGAATGCATAAACTTCTGGTGCTTCATTACTAGCTTGCCAGTTTCTGATAACTAAATTATTCCTTGCTTTGGTTTTAATATTTGTCACGGCCCACCAACCTCTAGCTAAGCTAGTTAGATTTGTATGTTAATTGTGGAGATACTACTTGGATGTGCTTTGAAATCCTCGGAGACCTTGTGTATATGTATGATAGCAAAAAACAACACAGTTTGTGAATACATTCTGTGGCTGGATAAGATTGTGAAAGGGAACCTTGGGTGAATTTTTATGGGTTTAAGAGTTGATTTTGTTTTCAAATAAGTAAATTAAATACAGAAATAGAACTGTTATACAAGAAGTATTTGACCTTCACAAGTGTAATATGTTTTCATGGTAATAGAGGCATGACTACAAGTGCTTTGAAGTATTTAGAAAATACGAAAAGAATTGCTGGTTTCTCTTCATGCTTATTCTTCTCTTCAATTCTAAGAATAAGCATTGAAATTCAGGTACTTTCAGAAAATATATTACTTTTTAAACAAATTGGATTTTTTTTTTTGAGAAATGGTCTTCAGATTTTCAAATACCTTTAGCTTATTTTGTCATCTTCTTTTATCTCATGCATCTGTACATTTGCTTTAATTAGTGCAACACTGAATATGCTGCAGTATTTCCTTTTAAACACTGGAACTAGTGTCCCAGCTGAGGTGGGAGGCATTCTTTGATACCACTGCAGGTTAGGATCTAATACAAAATTAAAATAGAGTAACTACATTGGTCAGCTTTCAGAAAACTATTTGTTGCTAAAGCTCTGTTTCAGATACATGGCCTGTCTTATGAAAGCATTTAAGTGTGTACCTGTGTTATATTTGACATTTAAAATGTAAAGTGATACCCTAAGCCATGAATTAGACTAAATCGACAAATTGATTGGGGGAAGGAAATATTTGTGATACCATTCCTGTTTTAAATGAAACATGCTGAGATAAATAGCTTGGCGGTGGCTATCTGGATGTGTGATTTGTGAATGGTCTAAGCTTCTGTAAGGGCAAATCACCAATGAAAGAGGGAGTGGAGCATTCCTCCTTCATCTCTGACACTGCCTTTGTACCCCTGCTCTTAGGCCAGTCCTACCATGCATGTAGCTGTATGACAAGCAGAATCAGAGCATTGATTTAGGCAAAAATTAACCTGGCTGAAAGAAAGACTAATAATACTTTAAAAAAAAAAAGAATGAGTTCAATCTAATTCTTTGTAAAAATATGGGGAAAAGGAAGATGGGAATGTGCAAGTGTAGAAGGATAATGAGACCACCTTTTTTTAGAGTTATCTTCACTGATACACAATTAAATTAGCTCAAGTCAACCATGCAGTGTTCAGTTGTGCATTTTAAATACAAAATCATCCTTCTTCATATAATGGATATTGAAAATTAATATGGCTGTCACATCATTGTCCGTTTTAGCTGTTTTCCACACAGTAACCTTTTTCGGTGGTGTCTGTGGTGTATGGCCCTGTTGATTGAGCACACTTGGTGCTCTTATACAATAAAGAATGTAGAGAATAAGGGGAACTTCAGGTGGAAATACTCAACAACAATTAGCCATAACAAAAAAAAAAGCCAAATTTTTGTGCAATGTACCGGTCCTATTGTACAAATATATCTGTTCTGAATGTCTGTTTAATTAATAGATCTTTCTAGTTTCCTTAGTCACCTTTTAAAAAATGGATTGCTTCATTTTCCATGTTTTCTGAGTCAAGTTTCTACATGACCATTTCTGAGTAGATAAAATTAAGCAGTTAAGAAGAGCTTTTTTAAGTCTCTGTGTACAATTTAACCAAGTGAGAAAGGTCAAATTTAATTTTACTTGGATGTGAAGAATAGATGAAAAAACACTGTTGATTTTCCATGACTCTTTCAGTTAACTTGTAGAGGTTTTACACTCTGTTTTATAGAGTGCTAGTGGGATGGACAAACATATTTTGCAGCCGTCCCACCTCAAGGTAACAAGTTGTTCTGATCTGCTGCCATGTGAATATAAACTGAATTGTAAGCAGCCTGATGGACAAGGTTATGCTTTAGAAGAGATAGTCGCTCTAAATAACATTTGAGCAAGAAAGTCTTAACTGAAATTCTTTCCAGTTGATTTATTGCATATTCTAGCTTTACCCTAGCTTCACTTAAGCTTTTAAGCAGTTGAGAAACTCCTTGTAAGGTAACTAGGAAAATCTTGATTGTGAATCATTCAACTTGTGTAACTCACCTAAAAGTTGGTACTTCTTGAGGGCTTTTTAAGATAAACCCCTGCTACTCACCATATTTTGTCACTCTTTATGCACCTTTATGCACCTGTTAGCTTAATTCACAAGAAGAATAAGTTAAGAATGCAGTCAGATGGAGGAAAAATAAATTATAATTATAATTATGAGCACTAGGATTTTTTTCTGCTGCATCTGTAATACTCCTCAGGAGTAAGGAGTGAAATGAAATACCAAACAATACATGAAAGAGTTCTTGAAGTTTCACTATTAGCCAGCAAAACCTTTTATAGTTTAGGATGGTGGACTGTCTTTAATCTAACCTAATTGCATATAATATGTGAACTGGATTTAATTTTACACTTCTTTCTGACAGTTGATAAAACTGAATCAGAGAATCCTTAAGAATTTACAGTTCTTCAAATTCTTTAGTCACTGTTGTCTCCCTGTGGCTTCTCTCACTTCTTTGCTATAATTTGCTCTAGTGCCTTGCACCAGTAGTCTAGTCTCTTACAGCACATGGGTGGTCACTGCAGGTAATCAAATGTTTGAGTCATTAATCACTAGCAGTTCGGTCTCTTTAAAATAAAGGCAAAACACCAAAAAGCCAAAAAGGCATATTTGGGGGAAAAAAAAGAAAAGAAAAGGTGGATACCAGAATTTTTGTGTGACCCTTGGCAAAAAGTAATCTCTGTAGATTTTTCTGTAAAGGGAAAGAGTGAAGAGCTGCTGGTCTTTTTTCAGTCTTAGACTCTATTATATGACTTGATAGTTTTTATTCTTCTGCGATAACAACTCTGGTAGTATAAAAATGTTATGTGAAATGAAGTATCTTAAGAAAGAGAGGAAGGTGATGAGGGAGAAATTTCTAACTGCCTAACTGTGGGGATAATTAGGAAGATGTAGGCATTACTGGAAAGCATTGATGACAATTTCCAGCCCAAGTAGTGGAGGATCTCACAAGGAATGGTGTGCTCCTTGACCTTATACTAACAAACAGGGAAGGCCTTGTTGGAGATGTGGAGGTTGAGGGCAGCCTTGCATCTGGAGTGACTGTGAGATTGTGGAATTCATTAGTGGGCAAGGAAGGAAGCAGGACAGCAAGTAAGATTGTAACATGGACTTCAGGAGGGCTAACTTTAGCCTCTTCAGGGATCTTCTTAGAAGAATCCCATGGGAAGAGGTCCTGCAGGGAAGAGGGATCCAAGAGAGCTGATTGATACTCAAGAATCACTTCTTCCAGGCTCAAGAATGATGCCTCCCAATGAGAAAGAAATCAGGCAAAGAGGGCAAGTGACCTGTGTGGATGAATAAAGTCATTTCTCAAGTGTAAGCAGGAAATATGTAAGAGATGGAAGCAGGGTCAGGCTACTTGGAATAAATAGAGAGAGCTTGTCAGATTAAGTAGATATGAGACAAGGAAGTGTAACAAAGGCAAGGGCTGGATTCTGCACCTGAGACAGGGCAACCCCGGATGTACAAACAGACTGGGGAACGAGAGGCTGGAGAACAGCCCTGTGGAAAGGGACCTGGGGGTCCTGGTCGATGGCAGGTTGAATAAGAGTTAGCAGTGCCCTGGCAACCAGGAGGACCAACCGTGTCCTAGGGGGCATCAGGCAAAGCATCGCCAGCTGGTCAAGGGAGGGGATTGTCCTGCTCTGCTCTGCACTGGTGTGGCCTCACCTTGAATATTGTGTTCAGTTTTGGGCACCACAATATAAGAAAGCTATTAAGCTAATTATATCCAGAAGAGGGCTACAAAGATGGTGAAGGGTCTGGAAGGGGAGCTGTATGAGGAGCAGCTGAGGTCACTTGGGCTGTTCAGCCTGTAGAAGAGGAGACTGAAGGGAGACCTCATTGCAGTCTACAACTTCCTCATGAGAGGAAGAGAAGGGGCAGGCACTGATCTCTTCTCTATCGTGACCAGTGATAGGACCCAAGGGATTGTCATGAAGCTGTATCAAGGATGAATTAGGTTGGATATTAGAAGAAGGTTCTTCACCCAGAGGATGACTGGGCACTCCCCGTGTAAGTGGTCACAGCACCAAGCCTGACAGAGTTCAACAGGTGTTTGGACAATGCTCTTGGGCACATGGTGTGATTCTTGGGGCTCTCCTGTGCAGGGCAAGGACTTGGACTTTTATGATCCCTTGGGTCCCTTCCATCTCAGGATATTCCATGATTCTCTGAATTCTAAATCTTCATTACTTGTCTAGGAATTTTATTTTATTTTTTTATTTTGATGTGCTGAGCATCAAAAAACTTAGAACCAATAAATTCCTAATGAAACTAAGAACAACCTTAACTGATGATATTTGTGTTCTCTTAACAGAATCTGGTTCTGCAATTACTGCTTCCTGTATTGGTTTGGGAAACTCTACAACACCTCCACCCGGACAGGCAGGAAAACCTGTGCCAGGATATAATGGTAATACTATGCTAAAAATGTTACTAGAAAAGGACATTGCTTGTGTTCCTCAGTAAGTGCTCCTTAATTGTAGCGAAAGCAAATTACAGTCTTTCTACACATTTTCCTCCTTCCTGAAACAGAAAATTCTACTTTTTTGTGTCATGGAATGTGATTGAGAATAAGAAATTCAGAGTTATGTTCAAGAAAACTGATCAGCTACTCCTGCCTTTATGATATGAAAGGGGTAGCACATACTGTGACACAATACTCGTTTACACTTCCCCACAATGCTTCTGCACTTTAACACAATTTGAGAGAGTTGTTAAGCACATTATCTTTCAGTATTTGTGGAGCATTTTTATTTCCAGCTGGGAGAAATGGTAGGCTTTGGACCAACATGAAAAGGATGTGCACTCATTGTCTGGAAGGTATTTGCATGCAGAGGGTGCAAAAATATTTTAATACCTTGGAACCCTGATTTTAACACAGTTTCAAGAATTACTTGAAGTCTGAAAAATAATTACATTAAAGATCAGATGATCTTCAGGAAAAGTTCTCACATAATTGGGCAGAAAGCAGAAAACAGGAGCTAAGCTGTTTTTTTCTTCTAATACATATAATTGGTAGTGAGCATTAAAGAAAATAGAACATTTTCAGCAGCTCTTGGTTTTGGCATTTACAGTTATGGCATGAGGACAAACAGTAGCTTAAAAACAACTTTAAAACAATGCCAATGAGTTAGTCCAGAGTTGTAACAAATAGGAAAGAGTGGAAGAATGTAGTTGCCTCATACATGCTATCAGATGATAGTCAGGATGAGAAAGAAATATGAGTAGCAGGAATATAAAAATTTCCAATGCATACTTTGGAGCACTGGGACTAGTGTAATTAAAGAATTTCTTGAAGTAGAATGAAGGCAACGTCTTTAGCATACCTTATAAGAGAAACAAAAAATGAGCACTAAAAGTGACTAAAGATTTATGGTATAACTTTACTTCTTTCAGTCTTTGACCAAATATGTCCTGTAATGCAACCATTCGTAAAATACTGATTTTTGAAATTACTCTATACTGGCTACTGCGTTTTCCTGCTGTTACTGTATTAATTAGAGAGGATATTTAAACCATTTAGGTGATAGATTCTGTATTTTTAGATTATACATGCAGCTCTTAATGGTTGATAAGTCATGTTGTATTTATGCTGCAATATAAATACAAAGTTACAAGATCTACTTTTTTTTTAACACAGACAAATTCTTTCCTATTACATATTGCTAAAAGTAAACTGATTCTTTGCTGATTTTTAAGAACACAGAGAATAAGAGTTATGATATCAAAGTGCAGTGGCACAAATTACGTTTATAAGTGATTCAGGATACCATGTTAATTTCTAGGTCTGTTGCCTTAAATCAGAGATTTTGTTGTGATTTTCCTTCGATCTACTTGAATCCTCTCCAGACAATTTCATTGCATTTTCAGACTGAAACAAGTCCCACATTTTGAAGAAATAAGTCAGTTCTTCAGTAATTCAGGGGTGAACAGTATAGTATCTCTGTTCTCCAGATTTGTCTACATTGAAATAAGCAGCTTGCAAGGAGGAGACTGAAGACTGAGATTAGTACCTTGATGAATCAGTTACAAAAAACGATTATATTTTACTCTGATATCATAAAAATAGGAGAGAAAACATTGAAAACTACATATGAGTGGATCTTTTCATTGTGCGTTCTGAGCCTAAATTCTCCAAATCTAACATGAACAAATCTACCATGTTCTTAGACCACCTAACAATAAATAAATACAAAACATGTTTGCAGATTATGAATGGGTTTTGCTTATGCTGTTCCTGATGATTTTCCTAAATGTCTTCTATGTGTCCCGTCATCCTTATTCATCCTATTGATTTCCTGTCCCAGTTACACCAAGATACTGATTTGTAAAACTGACCTTGTGTACTTGCTTGTGTCTATGTGCTGAGCCATTGCTTTCAGCAGGCTCTCTTCAGTTACTTAAAAATTACCGTCTTCTTTGAAGGAATAGCTTCAGCCAGAAATAATAAATGTTGGCATTGTTTGGACAGATATGATATTACTCATACGAACCTTAGCAGAGTTTTAGTCAGAAGTCTGTAATTTTCTTTTCCCCATTTCCTCTGTGACCTTTTAATATAGAGTGTAAGATTATTTGTAGTAATTTAGATTCAGATGAACATTGCTTTCTTTGCTTGGGGAGGCTTCAAAAGGCATGTTTTTAAGTCCTTATGAGCCCAATCTGTCAGAATCTTCCCTCCTGTTCTTCTATGGTTTAGTTGTTTCACTTTATTTAACTTCATTTTTCAGAGGCCAAGTTGGTATTTGTCATTCCTTTCTTATGCCCACACCTTTAGATGGAATGGGTGGTTGTAGTAGCTTCGTCTCCCAGATGACTGCACAGAAGAGTCTATTTCAGGTGTTTTTCCTCAGAAATTTCAGTATCAGGATATGATGCTTTCACTGAGGGTGGTGGGCCAGTGTCATCCAGGGAAAAGGCTTCACTTGGAAGGTCTGTATTCTGTGCTGTACTTGAGCATTACCCTGCTCTGCAGATTTGGGTAGTTCACAAGGTACTTTATAGCTTTGTGCTAGACTACAATAAATTTGTTAGCTGGGGAGTATCTTTCTGAGACTCCTGAGAGCCTTTGAAAAGCAGGTGTACTTATTTACTGCCAACAGTATTTCTCACATTAACTGCGTTAACCTTCAATAATCTGTTATTTCTTGCTCATGTTACCCACATAGTTTTTTTTTATATTTGTTGTGTATCTTAATGGTCTTTTGCTATTTAGAAGTTTAGATTTTCCAGTATGAAGGTTGCTTTTAAATTTCAGTTCTCTGTTTTTTCCTTTTGAGACTTTGTTTCCCTATTTCTGCTGCCAAAGCGTGAGTATTTGTGCTTTTTGTGCTTAAGGCTGAATGTTAATAAGACCATAAGATTATCCAGTTTGGCACTCCCAAATTACTTAATTCCTTTTGTTGTTTGGTGTATTACCACTCTGAAGTGTGACATAAGTTGATATCCCTACAGAAAGACACTTTCCTCCACCTAAAATGACACTACTAAACTTGAGTTTTCTTCCTATATTACTTTTTTTACAGTGATGATTCTGGATGAAAATAAAGAACCAGTGAAGGCCAAGACTTTGGGAAATATTGTGGTAAAGTAAGAAAAATAAGTATCTTACAGTTAAGGGAAACTTCTTACCTGGCTTGATTGTCTTTTGACTGAAGTTTATATATATATATAAAGCACAATGATTGAAGTAATGAGGATTGAAAAGTGTGTTCGTCTCTGATATGGATACGAGACTGTCCTGTGATATTGAGGAGTTGCAGATGAAATTGTGTGAGTGAATGAGGGTGGATTGCTGGCTTTTTTTCTTAGACTACAGCAGAGTTTACCATTTTCATAATTGCTAGCCTGTTGACATAGGATGAAGCCTTCCTGCTGTGATGTATGAGCAAGATACTGAATCACTCCCTTCATTCTTTTATCTTCCACTTTAGTGAAATAGTACAGCAGTGCAGACTGACATGCTTTGGCTTACAGTTGTGATGCTGCCTCTTCTTTCGCTATTTCCTAATCCCAATCGATGCACGTTCTTAGAGGGAGAACATGTATTTTCTCTTCGCTGTAAAAAAAAGAAAGATGTCTCTCTGTGTGCTTTGCATGAAACAGTGTTAATTTGTAGTGGTACTTGGACAAAATACACTGTGGTGTATTGGACAGGACTACAACAAAAAAAAAAGAAATAAGAAAAACCCACTGTGCATCATGTAGGTGATTTTTAGTACCATTTACCAGACTCATGTCAGATGACTTCCATAAGCTTTAATATTCTTTTTGAAAGTACACCTTTCTTGGCACTTCTCTTAGATAAAAAGGTCTCTGTTTAGATAGCACTGTGAACATCAGTTACATTTATCTTGCCTTCTGCCTTTTCAACTGTTGCCAGAACCTTTCCTTATTCCTGTAACACTCGATAGGCTGCTGCTCCCCACAGCCCATGACAGCTCTGTATTCTGGATGTTTCACAGCTTTTAGGCAAATGGCATTTTCCTCAGACAGGTACCTGCTTTGTGATGGGTGTGGTAGCTGTAACCACCTCTGTTTTCAGTCGCAGAAAACACTTCAGCTCTGAACACTTCTTAACTGCCAGCAAATGCAAGTACAAAAGGCAGTGCATTCATCTGTTTCTTCTGTGGTAAATTTCTGGAGAGTTGTGATAGTTCGGAGTCGTCACTGCTTGCTTAGATTAATGAAAGGAAATATAAAGATTAGCATTAACCTTCAGTGAACTGAAAATGTGTCAAAAGCTGAAACATTGGGACAGATGTACTGATTGTGATGAATTGTTAGCGAAGTTAGCTGAGGATTGAGTCAACAGGCACATGAGCTGGGGATGAGAGACATAAGAACTGCATGCACTGGACTGTGCTGCAGATGTGCAGCACTAACAGTGTGGGTGGGCTGGCATAGGAGGTGGAGTTGCTGAGGTATGGAGGTTTTTTGCTCAGCTGCACTACTAATCTAATGTAACTAGACCACTGTGGAGGCTGAAGTAGTATCACATGAACTTATTGTACTGTGTATTTTCAGGATGAAATCTGTACCCTGCCTAAATCTCAGCATCTTTGGCTAAGTCAACAAGGATACACAGGCATGGCTTTAAGGGCACACATGATCTTCCCTGAATCAGCAGACTCCAAGTTAGACGTAGTTTTCTTGTTACTCATGTAAGGTTATGCAGTGCTGCATGTTGCTTCTGCTGCTTCTTCAGTTCAGGTTCTTATTACATTGTCAAGTATGTGCATGCATTCCAGGGGCTGGGAGGGGGCCAGAGGCCCCAAGGGGCTCAGAGCAAAAACAACTCTTCTTTTCCGGTCTGGTTGTGGTATGTTTACATTTCTGCAGGAGCGCCCATTGGGCAGAACTTCAAAACTTCCAGGGGTTTCCACCCCTTGGGGTCTACCACTTCTCTTAGTCTCTCCAACCTTTTATAGACTGTAGTTGGAAGTATCTGTAACTGAGGTCGGAGTGGAAAGTTATCTTTGAAAGTTCTCACCTCTGTAGTGCCTGAAGCCATAATAAAACATAGGCTTGTAATCAATGGAGAGAGAGAAAGGTATTTTTGTAAGAAAAGTGATCCTAGCTGTCTTACATATTCAGCTAGGATGGAATAAATTGTCTTCCAGGTGTGCTGATGCCTCTCCAGTGACAGCAGTTTGCTTAGGATAGGTGCTTAGTCTTGTCTACCAAAAGAGAAGTGGAATAAACTCCATCTTTAGCAACTCTGCCAAACAATTTTAATTATATATACTGATAGTTAATGTTGGAAGATGTGTGCATATGTTTCTGAGTCCTTGCTGTCTTTAACTGCCTGTTAGGAGTGATGTTGCTATATTAGAAGATCCTGTTTGGAGTTACTGTCAAACTCCTAAAACCAGACTTTACCTTCTCTGTTATGGCCCCACAGCTATACAGCTATGCCAAGTGAAAATTTGCTAGATTTATAAGATGAAGAACTCTAGAAACAGTACCTTTCAAAGGGCTTTTTTATGTTACAGTGGATGAACCTCTGAATACACAAGATCTTTGAATGAAAGGTAGCTGCTACTGTAACTAAGCAGGTAATATGATTCCTTGTTATTCAATAGGGAAGCTGAAAAGGTGCCAACATTACTGTCTGTGGATATGATGTTAATAAATCTGTTTATGTATTGTGTTTGATTCTTATGTCCGTATTTCAAAAGGCTATTGAGAAAGTGACTGGATTTTAGGGAAAATATGAATTATAGTGCTGCAATGCTTGTGGTATGAAAACCTGTGGTATGTGGTTCATCCAAGATCAGTAAAATAGTAACTTTGTCAAGGCCAAGAAATACCCAGAGGACAGAAACATCTCTGAAAGATGGCTATTTAATCTAGCATAAAGAGATCAGAAGCTCAAGCTAGATGTATTCAGATGAGAAATAAAACACCATTTTAACAGTGAAGGTATTAAACCATTGGAACAAATTCTTGGGAGTGTGGTGGTTTACTTTGACATTTTCTAGGTCAAGCCTAGATATCTATTTTAAAAATTGTGGGGTTCAGGCAGGATTTAGTAGATGGCATCTTTTAGCCTGTGTTGTATGGGAGGTCAGTGTGAAGGAGCAAGATTCAGGATGGGAGAGGTTCCAGGCGTGGAGAAAGACATACAGCAATTGACAGGACTTTATTATATGGACTTTACTGTTATTATGTGGTTTCATTGTATTCACATTACACGGTGCACAGCCTGGACACGCCCGGGCTTGCCACGAGTTTGCCTGCTCCCTGCTTTCCCCGCTCCCTTCGCTGGTTGGCTGAAGAAGCTGCAGAGAGGAGACAGCTACTATTCGCCCCTTCCACGTTCCTCCCCCTTTTGCCTGTGCCCCTATCCCGATTTGTTCTCCCGTTTGTCTGTCTCATGCTCCACCCCATGTTCTGGCCCTTTCCCTGCCTGAACTGATAAAAAATCCTGTGCACACCTCAATAAAGTATTCCATCTGCACTCTGCCTTGTCTCCCCAACCCATCTGCACTGTGTCACAGCCCCACCCCCCCTCGGACCATGGCAGGTCAGTTCAGATAAAGAATCTGCAAAAGAAGATTTATCTCCCTGACAGCCTTCTACATGTTTATCAGCTTTGTCTTTTTCTTTTACAAGTAAAACAATAAGTAGGATTTCCAGTGTGAGAGCAATTTGTCCAAAGATGGGTTTTCTAGCAAATCTCTGACTGAGTACATACCATTTGAACTTTCTTTATTTTGAGCTTTTTCCAGCCACTTCCACTAGTTTTTGATGGCTTTCTCTCTTCCCCACTAAACTGTATTTTTTCTATTTTTTCTGCAAAATCCATACTGAGACCAACTACTTTTGTGACCCCTTTCAGCTAACTAAAGTAGTATTTCATGCAGACTGGAACATTTGAGATCCTCTACTCTTCTCTACCCTTTTTCATGTGCTGTTATTCCTGGTGTCTGAAAAACCTTCCAGATACCTTTCAAACTTGCAATCAAAAATTTCTATAAAAGTGATGTTTATGCACAGCACTACATAAAAGCTGAATAATAATTATACCTGCCAGTTAGGATGATTTAGTTGCATTCACAAGCCCAGACTCATTTAACAGTGACTTATACTTGCTTTGACTGGCTATAATGAACAGCCTGTGTCATTGTCTACCATAAAATAAAAGGATGTCTTTTCTGAATATCAGCAAGGTAGCCTTTCCAGTAGTTTTTTGACTTTTATTTGTACTTCCGGAAATCTGATTTTCTGTGTAAATTATTTTTTGAGTGCTCTGTCTATAATTGCTTGGTTCCATTAACGAGGAATCTTACACCATTTCGATGAGTGGCATTTTGAAAGGGTGTGATATGGGAGTCAGATTGTCTTGGGCTAAGCTGAAGGGTGGACTGTTCTGTGAAAGGTTAGCCACTGTTGTATGAAAACTAAATGAATTTTGAAACAATGCTTAAAAAACAAGTAATGATTATCATTTAAAATTCTCTAACAAAACAGTTTCTGTTAAAGTACTTCAGAGGATTTTTTGTGACGCTGTTGAGCTTATCTATGTCTTAGTTTCTCCAATTTATAATGAAATTACTTCCTTATCTTTGTAAAGTGTAACCAGAGTAAATCTTTGGTAAACGAACCCCTATATTTTACATCATTAATTTACAGAGTTTACCTGGTTTTCCTAATGCTGTTCTAAATGTATTCAATCTTGAAATGAGAAATGGGCCTGGATCTATATTCTTGTAGTTCTGCAATTTTAATCTTGATTTCACTGGAGTAAATGGAGAGTGACATAATTGTACTGCTGTAATTGTACTGGTGAAAAACTGGCATAAATGAGATCAAAATTCAGACCTATACATCCTCTTTGAGGTTTGAAATCCAAAGGTAAACTTTTTCATTCACATGTTTTTATTTATTTCAGTGTAGAATTTGGGCTTGAAGCTCCACTTGGATTTGAAACTGTGCCTCTTCTTTGCTAGTTAAATGGGATGAGTTGACTCTAGTTAGCCTGATCCAGTATAGCTGCTAAACACATTCATGTTTTAGAAAAAACTAGCAAGCTTGTCTTGAATTTATATTTGTTGAAGCTTGTGACTGTCTTCTGCAGAAGGAAGAAGCAATTATAAGACAGAAGATGCTACCAGAGTTAGGACCATATGGAAAATCAAAGCAAGACTAGTGTAAGGGAAGGTTCATCTTCAAACTGATAGCAGATGCAAAGGCTTAACACTGGCTGCTTTGTGGCTTGGCATGTGGGGTGAGAGAGAGTTAACAGATAGCTAGAGAAATACAGTGAATATGTCCCAAAGGAAAACCTTGCAAAGCAACTTCTTTGTATATTGTGGAAATCATAATGAAGGAATATATTTCCTTCTGTCTTGGTCTTCTGTGGTCCTCTTCCTTGTGAAAGGAAAGCAGGACCATCTGTGGGGCAATCATGCTTACTTATGCATACCTGGAACTTTTTTGTTAATATACCCTCTTAGTAAAAATAACCCCAAAAGATCTTGAGTATCAACTCAGTGTTTGGTCAAAGAGGCAACAGTTTTTAAATATTGAATTCTTGTAGACGTGTGTTGTATTTCCTAGGAAGAACAGAATCAAACTGTTGCTGGAGTGGGTCCGGAGAAGGGCAGCGAGGCTGGTGAAGGATCTGGAGCACAAGTCTTATGAGGAGCAGCTGAGGGAGCTGGGGTTGTTTAACCTGGAGAAAACGAGGCTCAAGGGAGACCCTATTATAGAGACCTTATTGGTCTCTACAACTACCTGAAAGGAGGCTGTAACCAGGTGGTGGTTGGCCTCTTCTCCCAGGAAGCCAGCAATAGGAAAAGAGGACACAGTCCTTAACTGCACCAGGGGAGGTTTAGGTTGGACATTAGAGAGAAGTTCTTCACTGAAAGAGTGAATAGGTATTGGAATGGACTGCCCAGGGATGTGGTGGAGTCACTGTCCTTGGAAGTGTTTAATGAAACACTGGATGTGGCACTTAGTGCCATGATTGAGTTTACATGGTGGTGTTAGGTCATAGATTGGACTCAGTGATCTCAGAGGTCTTTTCCAACCTAATTGAGTCTGTGATTCTGTGAAACCAGACATCCCAAAATGTTCCTGTTTTTGTATGGAGAGGTTGAGAAAGGGAAGGGATGTTTGCTTTTGGTTGCTGTTATTTTCTGACTGCCTCTTCTGGCTCCCTGCATGTAATTGTGATCCAGTTCTGCTCCCTTTGGAATTTATGGCAGGCTTCTCCTTGACAGCAGTGGGTTTGGAGGTATTTTTGGCTCTGGACATTTTAGTTCTAATGTCCTGACAAAATTCCAATACATGTAATTATGTTTTGGCAGACTGAATTCTGCCTTTATTAATTTTAATAATTATTTGTGTTTTCACAGAAACTAGAGATTCTAGTCAGTTATGATGCTAAGAGCTTTACTCTCATGAAAGAATTGTATGTGCCTGTTGCTGTGGAATTATTTTGCCTGGAAGATGGACACATAGATGATGGCACTCACTTTTTGCTTAGAGGATGAATGGGGTCTTAATTGCAAGTAATCTTTCACGGAAAGCTATGGAAGCACATTTTCAGATGTTATCTGTATTGTGCTATGATATGTACTATAGAGATACCTGTGGTAACCACTAGTTTAGCAATCTGTTTTCAACCAACTCAGGAAATATGTTCTGTGGATGTACTTATCAATGCAATTTTCCTAAAAAAACCCCAACAAACCAAAGAAAAAAACCACAATCAAACATAAGACACCCCCCGCCCTCCTCTACCCACTCCCCCACCCCTCCAGGAAAATAAAAATCTGAACAAACAGAATAAAACGAAAGGGTAGGAGCAAGCATTATATTTTTGGTGATATGTTACGCACGTCAGTGTTTAGATTTCTGAACAATTACAGAAAGGAAAATGCTTTTCTGATTTCAGCAGTAAAATTGGTTTTTTTTTATTGAATGACTAACTGCAAAGTACGGAATAGAGCTATGGGGAAAATAAAAATCTGAACAAACAGAATAAAACGAAAGGGTAGGAGCAAGCATTATATTTTTGGTGATATGTTACGCACGTCAATATGAGTCTGATTTCCTTGAATGACTAACTGCAAAGTACGGAATAGAGCTATGGGGAAATTAAGGACTTTATCAATATGAGTTGTCCTTTCTCTCCCATCACAAGGATGCTTCAGACTGCTAAATGAATTTAAAGTGCAAAATTTGCCATGATTGAGGCTGTTATGAATTGCTGTGCTATTAGCAACCAGGCAACACCCATAGTAACTGCCATTCTCTAGTGATTTTTCTTGAATCTAAGCAAGAGATTTTTTTTCTTTTAAACTCATAAATACATAAACACCACAATCAATATTTTGTTTTTCTAATTTTTTTTTTTTTTTAAAGCAAACACTCTATAGGTCATGTTTGTATATCACAGAGATGCTTACTAAGATTGAAAAGCTTAAAATAAGGCAGTGAATTCCTTCCAGATGGGCAGAAGCCAGCCTGCCCTCCTGAACCCTGCATGACTACCTGGGAAGTGTCTTGGCATTTCTGGCCATACTTTCTTAACCATACTTTCAAGGAATGTGATTTATGGGACATGTTGAGCCAGAGCCCTCAGAGAAAGTAGTATTTATAGCAGTATATTCTATTATGCTAACTTAGCTGAATTAAGCTGAAAAAACTAGGATTGTAAAAAATCAGGTATTTGAATCATTACTGGATGACATGACCTTTTCAATGTAGTTTGTACCTTTTATATCATATTTATATTTATATTTATGCCATACTTAGGATTAGTGTGTATATAGATAGGTAGATAACTATTCTTTTTGTAAATATAATGTTAGAAATGTCCATGTCACAGAGCTTGTGGCACCTGTTCTTGTATCCTAAACATCACTGGAGTCTTGTAATGATACCAGTGTTGCTATGCTACAGAAGTGTTTTTCTGCTAGAGATGTTGCCTTCAGGTGTCACAGGGATACTATCAATAGAAAAAAAATACCTCTAGATAAATAGTTGCTAGTTAGGAAAGCAGGCATATACTAGTAAAAACTGTATGGGGTGTTTATGATTTTATCTAAATAAATATGTTTGCTTGCATGATTATTCTCTCTTTGTCATTAGGGGTAAACTTGATAAAACTTGTGTTGATATGCCTGAATATATATCTCTTAGGCAGTTGAAGAAATCTGTGTTTAATCCTATCAGAGATTCGAAGGAAGAAACAACTACTTCTTTGTTAGCTGAGGCTTCTGCAGCTTCTCTTCTTCTGACAGATATGTATGTGAAATGTCCCATATTTTCTCATGCCCATATTGTTGACTGACGAAGGGGTGTATAATGTACATTCAAAACTCAGCAAATAAAGCAGACCGGAATTTTGCGACTTTGCTTCTTAAAAAAATAAAAATAAGTCCAGTTATTTTAGAAAGTTCTACTAGTGACTTTTATCAATATCCTTCAAAGAACTCCTCCAGTATTTCCAGTAATATTGAGCACAGTTTCAATATAATTCAATTTTTATTCATATTCTCATGGTTGAAGTCCTTTGAGCTACATCTTTTTACAGAAACGGAAGATTTGTGTATCTGATAATCCATCTGTCTATGCACATGTGAGTGGTGTATGGGTGTTAGAGAAAAAGATACCTATAATAATGAAATTGCCTGTATCATAGCATATATGCACACATTTCTGACAGTTTCTTAATCCTTAGAAATGTTGAAAGCTGAATATTGTTAACATATTTATAGTGCAATATATGATGTTTACTAGATCAAACATTATTTTACTGAGATGCTTATGTAATATAAAAGGTAAGGTCTGGATACAGTGCAGAACTGTATGTATATGTTCACAATAATATATAGTCTTTTTATGTTATCAGCATATTATTAAGCTGAACTGTTTTCTGATTGTATAAACAATGATTATTTATCTGAATATCAAGTATGAATAGAGAGCATGAGTTGTACTTGTTATATCTGTATTTGTTAATACTTCCCTCTATTCTTTTCAATTTAAGGTTGCCTTTGCCTCCTGGAGCATTCTCAGGTCTTTGGGAAAATAAAGAAACGTTCCAGAAGTTATATTTCCAAAAATTTCCAGTAAGAATTATGAAATAAACTATATAGATTTTTAGTAATTCTGCAGAACTGAATGATACTAGATTTAACCTGGATAACAGTTTATCATAAATTTTCGTATCTTAATTTAAGATCTTTGATACATGTGCATACAATTAAAAGCATTTCAAGGTAAAACTTTTTTCATCTGTAATTTAAGCCCTTAGACATACTGTGGGTTTTTTAAGATCTGAAACAGAAGAAGTAAACCTCAAGCTTCTGAGCCAAAAAGTCATTTTATGTCATTTGATCTAATAAAACATATAAGCCTGTGACCTTAGTCTGGCATAGCTTCAAATATACTAATCCTGTTGACATGCAATCATGCTAGCTTGGTATCAGTCCAAAATACACACTTGTCCACTGTGCACCTAAATATATTGGAGGCTCCTTACTTTATTAGTTATGTTTCCTTGTCAGATGAACTATCCAAGGATTGGCTTCCTCCTTTCCTTGTAGAAATAACTAGATTGGCCCTATACAAATGTTCAGAATGGAAGGTTTGGATCAATAAAAGTAAATGAGTGAATTAGTCAGGCAAATTATTTCCTGTGTGCAGTTGCTTCACGATGTATGTTTGGATACAGCAAACAGGAATATCTTTAGGACAATTGACAACTTGTTATTATATTGTAACAGTTCCATTCTCCTTGTGTGGATCCAGGCAACATCCTTCTCCAAGCTGTCAGGAATCAAAGTAAGCAGAGTTGGAAAGAAATCCAGGTTTATCTATTGTCTTCTGTTCTATATTAACAAAGTCTACAAAACCCTTATGGAAAGGGAGCTGCATGGCATATTATGACAGAAAAATAGTGAAAAATATTACAGAATTAAATCTTTCAAGCACCAAAAGCGTATTTAATGTGGAAAACAGGTGATTGTTGTTGTTGTTGTCGATTTCATGGTAAATTCGTGGGTATTCCTAGTACTCTTTTTGAATTTATTTTTTATTGTGTCACGTTTAGGGCTATTATGATACTATGGATGCTGGCTATATGGATGAAGATGGCTATTTATATGTCCTGTCTCGAGCTGATGATGTGATCAATGTTGCCGGACACAGAATTTCAGCAGGTGCGATTGAAGAGGTTAGCATTGCTTGACAGAAAAATAGAAGAGTGAAAGTTGAATAGAACAAGCTGAGACTGAAAATCTCACAAAATCTCTCATTTTCTTTCTGCTCTTTTTGTTTGCATTTCCATTGGTACTTTTAACCACAACATTTCCTATTTCAGGTTCTTCCTATTAAGGTGCTTTCCAGAACAAAATAAATTTAGTCAGTAATAAGCAGTTTGTACCATGGGGTTGATGAGACAGACATATGGGAAGCATAGCTGTTAGCTCTGATAATGTATTTGTTTGGGAATATGTTAAGATAATGTAGAGTCAGTGTGCCAAGTAGTTTCACCAAATAAATACTGTAGCAACTGAGGAGTAGAAACTTTTATTCCTAAAATATAGTACTCAGTGTTGGCTGAATTCTTTTCACATAGACTCACATTTCTTGATTTGAAGACTTTCCTTCACATTTTCTTGACAGCTGTTTTGTCTCTTACTGTATGAGCAGTGCTAAATGAACAATGAAAATGTCTGTAAAAAAACCTGCTGTTAAGTTGAAAGTCATTAATGTCATACCTATGCAACTCAAAAAAATTGAAAATAGTGCAGTTCATAATAGTGTCTGAATTTCATATCATTGTTCACTCACCTCTCTGGAACTGCTGTGATTGCCAGTTACAAATTTCCCTGATGACATATCAATTGCTTATTCAGGGAGTATAGGAAAAGGTGTGCTGGGCATGTACAAGATAAAAATACACTTATAAGGACTGTGAATTTAACTGTTCACTGAATCAAAAACTAGTAATTTTTCTGTTTGTAATGTCTGTTAGGCTAACGACTATGTTTTTTAGAGGCTAGGAAACTTAGAATAGAAGAAATTCTGACTACACAGAAGTGAACAAATTCAGATAAATATAGTCAATCCATTGAGAACTGGTCAGCGAGGGAGCTGAATGAGCTGCTGCCCTGACTCACATAAAGGTGGCTTTTAGTCTGCTTAAGCCTCTTTCCCTTAGAAGTCAGGTTTTTGTATTGCCCTGCTAAAGTGCAGCAGGGATTCTCAGTCCCTCAGAGTCTGAGCTGGACATTGTTTCTTTGCTTCAGCCTTAATCTTAAACTACTATAACAAATGATGAATTGAATCACGTCCTCTGTTGTATTAGCTTTGTATCCATCATACCGAGCTTAGTGTCTGTTTGTATGCCTGCTAGTTAGATCTTTCCCCTAGAAACATAAAAATGTTTCATCACTCTGACATTCTAGAAGCTTTTCTATTCACCTTTTGAACAAAGCTAAAAACCAAGAGTGGTGTTAATGTATGCACAGCATAGTTAAATGGGAAAGCATTAAGAATACCACAATTAGCTTCTCAGTAAGATCAGTAAATACAGAGTTAGAGGTTCATTGAATCGCCATCTAATTAAGTGACAGTAACCTTGTCGAGCAAGTATATTATCTGCATTTACATTATAGCTGCATTACAAGCATAACAAGTTTTTTGCTAATGCTTTGACTAAGTATTTCAGCTTTATTATGTTCTAAACAATTAGTTTCTTTGTCTAAGGTATCTATTAATACCATTGGAGCTCCATGTTTACGCAATGCAGTAGGTGTTGTGTTTACTTTGCCAGTCAGTGAAGGGTAGCTATTATGGTAGCCTCAGCTTGTCTTGGTCCATCTGACTCTTGTCTGTAAATCTATGGTGTCCCTCCCTGCCCCTTTCTGAAAAACACCTAAATTGAATCTTGACTATCTGAGGCAACAGACTTTAAATTGAGGAATTTAGCATGAGAAATCCCTTTCCTTTGCATCCATCCTTATGCCCAGTGATCATTCCAGGAAAGCCATTTCACTTCAAGTTTTTTATTACTTTTAAACAATTTTTAAATGTCTAGTGCTAATTCTGTTATTTTCAGTTGTTTTACAAAGTTTGATAATTTTCAAATTAGTACTTACTAATTTTTTTAGTATTTCCTAATTACTAATTTCAATCATTTGAAGTTAGCCTTTGAAAAGTTGATAGCATTTTGGATAGCCCGAAGAAAAATACTACAGTAACTGCAATATTCCAGCTAACCGTCAGATTTTTATGAATAAGTGACAGTCTGGAATGGCCAAAACAAGCTGGCAATACTTAAATCTCTACCTTAGGGGTCCTGTTGATGCCTGGCAGGTAATTATGGTATTTAATGGTAATGTGAGGTTACCGCAGACCTTTTTCCTGCGTTATTATGGAAAACAATACTCTAGTTTTAGACCTTACTGTCTACTTTTCCATAATTCATTGGGTTTTTCTTTCCTTTCCTTTTTTTTTCCTTTCCTTTTGTTGTTGTTGTTGTTATATATGTCTCTCAAGTTTATGTGGCCAGGGTCAGAACAGGAAAAAAATGCATTATTGAGGCTTGGCCTAGAAGTGACCAAAGTGCATTAAGTGTATGTGATGCATTGAAATACCACAGAGATTTGGAGTTGCGTAAGAACTCATTCCTGTATGATTTGTCAGTGTGCTTACAATGACTTCTGTAAAAAGCAAGCCATACCTGAATTCAAATGTATAGGTATATATTTAGCTTCAGCTTTTTATGTAGCAGGCTCCTCTGCCCTTCTAATTCTGGGGTGAGCCCAGCCCTCTGTTCTGTATGGAACTTGTGCACATCCTATTTAATTCCTGTGAAAAAATACATAGTTTCAAAAGCTGTGCATAAATGTTCATGCTTTTGTACTTTGATAGACCATGCATCTACTATTAAGGTCAGAGTTCTCCATTTACCCTTTTTCTAGCATGGGATATTTCTAGGATCATAGTTCATGAAGTGACTGACAAACAAAGTGTGCTAGAAACAGTTTGATCTTGGTGTATGTTGTAGTGTATCTTGGTGTAGTGACCATGACACATAGAGCCAGTTTCTCCTTTCTGACTGTAATGCCCAAGGATGGTGAAATCTGTTTCGAGGATGGGTTATAGGAAACCCTTTGAATTGTTCCTTCCCCACTGGTTTCACAAACAGGTCAACAACAGCTTTCCTTTTGTTAATTGGAACAACAGTGATTTAGCTTTCCATTTCTTCAGGTTTTTTCTCTGTCTTCTTTGTACTTTTCCTGTCTTCCTCATTCACATACCACTGTATGAGTAGCCAGTAGAAATGATTCCTACTTAATAAAAACAACCAAAAAAAGGCCTTTTTACTTAAAATTTAGTTAGTCATCCCATTGCCTTCGATTTTGGCAACACAGTATGTGAAGTTCAGTTATTAGCCCTTGTACGCACAGTCACATGATGTGGCCTCTGTGTAGGGTCATGTTTAGGTTCTCTTTGTAGTTCAGTCCAGAGGACTGAAAAGTGCTGAAAGCACTGTTGACAGCAAGATGCCCCAAGGCATACTGATAGCTACATGAAATTAGCCAGTTACTTTGGAAGAGGATTCACAGTTCCTGGCATCTTAAGCCCAGCTTTGTCCCAGACTTAGTGACACAGTCTTGGTGCATACTGAGACATCTTGCTGACTGTTTTCCCGGCAGTGAGAATCTCAGCTAGCTAATTGGAAGGAAGAGAGAATGTCTTACTTTTTTTAACTAAATGAAAATTTGGAGTATTTTTGTCAATGTGTTATTGTGTAATGTGTGTTGGGAAGGAGGGGGGCTCTGGTTTAATTACTTTTTTTGTCTCAGGAGGCTGAGACCTAATGGTTCCAAGAGAGTGAGCTGAGCTAGGCTGGCTGCAAGCTGAGGCTAGGCCTGTATTTTGCCTTGGTTGAAACTATACCTTTACAGCAGCAAAGAATAAAAAAGATAAGATTTAGAGAGAATAAACCAATATGACTTTATAGCTCGGTAGTAGGAGTGCTTCTATAGTTTTGGTCCTTAATCCACGCATTTAGCTCCATGTTAATTGTAATGTTAGACTACTGTTATTTGTTCCAGCAAAGATCTCACTAAAAAAACAAAGATGTGATACTCTCCCAAAGAAATTACCTTTGGTTTGTTCTAGATTTCTGTCTTGTGCTTCCGTAGTTCTTACTTCTTGTGTTTGTTTGAGAAATACATGTAACTATGTGTATGAAAGTATACTCATATACATCTGCAACACATGTAATTGGAATCCTCAGGTGTACTGACTAAATACCTTTTGCTGTGAAAATGTAAGAAGTAACTATATTAAATGTCCATGACTGTGGAATTTTTTCACTGAATGTCCACCTATTATATTATTAGTTCTCTTTACTTCTGTTTTCTATCCCTCAGTGTATTCTCTTCCATCCCGCTGTGGCGGACTGTGCTGTTGTGGGCCAGGAGGATCCTTTAAAAGGACATGTTCCATTTGCGCTGTGTGTACTGAGACAAGGTGAGAGCTCACTGATACTGATGTCACTAAGACTTGCAAAAGTCTCAGAAAAGGTAAAGGATATGACTTTCTTCACCAGGTATAAAGACAGAAAAGAATAAGATTTTGAACGAGATTGTTGAGCGAGTTCGAACTAACATTGGCCCTGTAGCAGCTTTCCAGAAGGGGATGTTTGTGAAACAGCTACCAAAAACACGCTCTGGCAAGATACCACGTTCAGCTCTTTCTGCACTTGTCAGTGGAAAGCCATACAAGGCAAGTTGGAGATGTGTACTTTAATGAATTAGGCGCACGTGCACACCTGAAGGCACAAGGTTATGGTTTTAATTCTCTTGACTGTTCTGTAACTGGTCCATGACTTAAGGTAGTATGTTATATTTTATTTCTACTGTGACTTACCCAAAAGGTTTTTATGCTCCAGAGCTTTCCAGATACTTTTTTGTTGATTGCTTTTGAAGGCTAGATTTGAAGAATCTCTGAAATTCTGTCTACTCTCACATGCTTCTATATATTCTTCCTTTTCAGATAACACCAACCATTGAAGATGCTAGCGTGTTTAAACACATCGAAGAACTGCTAAAGAAAAATTAAATGGAATAATACATCAATAACAAACATTTTAATTACAGAAGTACAAAGAGACTTTCTGTCTGTTAAGATTACCACATTTTAAAAACTAGTCATGATTTGGAACAAAATGTTTTTACTGCAGAAACATTACTGTGTTCTTTACCATCTTGTCACAGCCAATGACACATAGTAAAGTCTCTGCATGTTGTGAATATATGCTGGTTATTAAGATGGCTAAGAATTGCACATAGAATTCATATATTTCTATAGTCTTAAAGGGGAGGAGTCATGGGATTATCTGTATGATGTCATGTAACCTTTCATTTCAATCTGTTTTTGTATAATGTGACCAGTAACTTGAGTTTGAATACAACAGTTTACAAAAAGTAAGTCATGAGGACAGCAATAAACAGGAATTTAACTGTGAAAATTGTTGAAGGCATAAATTGTTCTCACTTGTAAATTAGAAGCCTTTACATCTTTTAAATTTTTCTAAAATTAAAATTTTTAAAATTAATTTTCTTGATTCCACTGATTTCTTTTTTTCCTAAGACTTTCTGCTATATATTAGATTCCTATAATTTTTTTACTCAATAACTTTCTGAAATGTCTTTTTTGTAGAATGATAAATAATTTCTGGCTTTCAAATATGTGAAAATCCTCATTTGTCTGCTCAGTAATACACATGATTTTAAATAAAGGCAGGCATTTACTCTTTGCATTTTCTGATATTTTTTTGTTAAAAAAATATCCTTATGATAAGGATAACCAGAATGTGCTTTTGCCGAGGTGTATATATAACCAAGAAATTTAGCAAATACAGATACTAAGCATCTTATCCTGGAATTTATAGGCCATTTCAGAATAGTTACAGGGTTCTTAACAAGCCAGGAGATGGAGGATACACTCTCTACATACTTCTTAAGCTGCAGGTTTTTCATTGAACAATAAAGGTAAAAATGCTTTAAAAAATATACATATACAGAAAAGTTTAAAAGCAGAGAAGTTACTCAAACTCAGCAGTGCTTTCCAGAGGAAGAAACAATAAGCAATACATAAATTCAGATGATGTTGGTATATAAGAGAGGTCCTCAAAAGAGTCCAGAAATACTGTTGTGTGCTGGTGGATAGAGTTAAGGATGATATCCCTGTAAAGTGATGAAATAAACCAACAGATTGATGTAGGACATAAAAGGTGATAGATAGGTGCTACTTACTGTGAGCCATACCCTGATGGTGCCTTGTGCCTGCGATCTTTTGTAGAATTGGTGAGCTCTACTAGTTGCATAAGAACTATGTAAAATGTTCCTGTGTTTTTTCACTTGGGACTGCATACAGCACAGCCAGTCATGTTGAAACAGGTCATACAGTCATATAATAGAACAGCCTCGTTTGAGTCTGTGCTGTACTTGTTTTTTGCCAAATCATTGTATAAGGTAGCCCACCTCAACCCTGCCGCCCCCGCTCAGTTATTCAATTTAGTTGAAAATCTCAATCTGAACAGAGGGTAAAACATGTTGTGAGAGACTGGACTGTAAATGCTAATGGCTCTAAGAATCAGCAGGGTGCTTTGCTAATGGTGCTGTATTTCTGGGGCAAAATAACTTCAGCTTTGGTCACAAGATCTGGCTCATTCTTTTCCCCAACACATCTCATTTAACCCCATCCCCTAAATTTTAGTGTGGGCTGTGACAATGTGGGCTGCAAAAGAAATTCTGTAAAATGTGAGCGGGTGTTTACAAGGAAACGTGTATTCATATGATACTGCAACCACTGCTAATGGTGTTTGCATTATTTTACTTTGTGATATTCTACACTAAAATAATCCAGAAGGAGGCTGAGGGAGGAGGGGGAGAAAGAACATCAGCAACGATGTCGGTCAAGCCTGAGGAACTGTATTTACAAGAGCCTTGGCTTTATATAGTTATAACCCTGCCATTATATCACACCCATCAGCAAGTTCGCTGCTCCCTCTCCTGGCGGATTCTGACCAGTAACTCCGTCGTGACTCATACCTGTTAGTGTCAAAATGTGTTTATGCATGAGAAATATCTGGTTTCCAAATTTAATGCTCCTATGTACCAAGCTTAATAGACTTATAAACACAAATAGCACTGAATTCTTTTTTTATTGACATTGGGGGAGAAAAATTTTTCACCATCTGATTGACCGAAGTTTGCCAAATGAAAATAGACAAAACAAATGTTTATGTACGTGCAAACATTGCAGATCAAACTGCTTAAAGAAATAACTAAAAGACAGGTCTTGAGCTAAGATCAAGCAGCAGAAAAATAGCAAATAGGTAAATGACTATTAAGTAGGTCTTACTTTGAAACTTCCCATTTAAACAAAGAATAAACAACAATAACACCACCAAATAAAGCCACAGCAGGTAATAGTTGCTCTTCTAAACTTTTATACATTATATATTAATCACTCTGTCTTTCAGTTATTTCCTCTGATAAAACTGACTTCTGTGAAGTCTCAGCAAGGCCATCTTGGCTAAAAGCGTAACATTAGACAGGAGCCTAATGCCCTGTTAGAATGAAGAAATGGTGGGGTTTGGCTTCTCTTGTCTTTCGTTTTTTTTGTTGAATATATCTGGAAACGAGAATCTGATTCTATGCAAATATTAGATTTACTTTTCCAATGCTGGCTGGTGTTTCAAGATCCTGGAACAAAAAGGTGGCTCTTGGTAAAGCAAGATTCTTCTTGGTCCACAGGTAACATAGAAGAAAGTTTTTGGTTTTTTGTATAAATCATGTTTTATTAAATTGCCTTTTTTTTTTATAAACAGTTCTCCTGGGTTTATTTATTTGTTTTTAAGAGGTGAGCCATGATGATGCTTCTCTATAGATATCTGACATTTCCATTTTGTCTTTAGAGGTCCATTTTGGCTCCAGTTCCAGGTTATGTATTCTATTATACATCATCAGAGGCAGGTGTTCAGCTTTTAATATTGACAGATTTTTCTCAGTAGGAACATGTTGAAGCTTGTAACTCTGCTAAACATATTCATTTGACTGTTACAATCCAAAAACTGTAAAAATGGTGGAATGGAAAGATACAAACAGTATTATTGACACTGTGTTGTCAAATGTTTGCACTGAGACCCCATGTACCATAGATTTTATTTTTTAAAAAATCATATTTATATCCATTTACATAAGACTTACACATTTTAAAAGAAATACATACACAGTAAATACGTAAATGTCTAATATTTTACAATAAAACAGATGGAACAATGTAAAGATGAGTGGCTTCATTTGATAAAAGCTTTGGATGTGCACTACTGCCAAAGTTTTGATGACAGAGATGCTGAGAGAAAAAAAGGGAGGTTGTTTTGTTTTCCTTTTTTTATTTTTTTATTTTTTTTTTTTAGTAATTTAGGTATTTTTTTATTCTTGTTTTAAGTTAACCAGTACATGAAAGGAACATCATATGTGTTTGTCTGATAAACTTTATGTATTTTCTTCCCTATTACCCTGTTCTTGCAGAAAGTTTTAATGCTCTTTTCCTAGGTAGTGATAGTGCACTTCAAGTAAAGTAGAAGAAAGAGATGACATCTAAGGGGAAAAAAAATAAACATTAATTAGTGAGGTTCTTTGTTTCTAATTTGGTCTAGGATGCAATAACAACAGAAAATATATCACTAACTATGCTATTGCATGTTTTAGTAAAACATGGTCTTTGATTATCTGTGGGAGGCATGCATTTGTTTAATTTTAGATCTGCAACATAGACCTATTAATAATGAATTTTAATATTTTACTAATGTATACTGATTTTTGTCCTAGATCAAAATAGACTGCTGCTTATGTTCATTTTATAGTTGTTTTCTTGCTGTTTTAATTCAGCACTGAAGTTAGTTTCCTGCATCTGGAGACCTTTGCCTGTTTGGCACAAGGTTAAACACACATTTTCAGTGTACAGACCTTGCTGGTGTACTTTGTGGTTCTCCTTCCAAGTTCACTGCAGCTCAACAGCATTTACTTTTTTCACCCTGATGATTTCTTTGCTATGGACCAGCTGCTTCCAGATTATCATTCACATCTTTTTGGAATGCTGCTTCCCCATTTGTCTTTACAAATCCTCTTTGGAACCCTTCATTGGTAAAGTACATTGTTGATTTTGCCAAATCCCCTTTAATATTTATTAGAAGTGAAACTAGTATGTTCTATTGCCCCAGCCAGTGGCAACAAAACTGTCCTGACTGAGCCTTCTGACTTGGTGATGACAAGTGTTTATAAGAGAAAGGCATTGGGAAAGCTTGGACAGTGTGAGTGCCAAATATGCTGGCTGTGTGGCGTTGCAGATGCTCAGCTGGGCAACATACAGCCACCACAGCAGAAAGCTTTCTGCTCTGTGCTCTGTGGTAAACTTTGCAACATTAAATGGCCAGCATCAGCAGTCTTAATTGTTCTTAAATTTTTGATACTGAGGGTGCACTGGAACAGGGCTGCTCACAGTATGCTCATGTAACTGTTCCGAGACTGTCTGTTTGTGATTTTTGGCAGCTCATCATGGTTTCAACAAATGTTTAAAAAAACCCACCTGAAATGCAATTCAAAAGCATATGAGTGAGACACAGCTGCTGTGAAGAAACACTGTAAGACACTGTAAGGTTGTATCCAATTGGTATTGTTGGCATAAATTATTTTGAAATACAAGGCTTTGACATTCTCTGTAAGGGAGTATCTCTGTAAGAGTAGCAAAATGCAAGAATCTGCAGCCTGCTGTGATCATAGGCCATGAGCATTTTTTCCATATGCAATCTGTTTGCAGCTCTCTTTTCGACCTCCTCTTTGTAGGCATATTCCCCTTTATTATATTAACATTTTTTTTATGTTGTTATTGTGTGACAGCTCATCCAGCTGTCCCTGCCCTCTGCTACTTAGTTAGAATCAGTCCCTGGTTCTATGCATGCAGATATGTTAGTCACCAGAGTAACACAGCTGCTGATGGTGCAAGTTGTTACAAGTCTGGTCTCAGTCTAAGCTGGATCTGGAAAATTTCAAGAAGCATGTTGTAATGAATAATATTTCCTTTTGTCCAAGTATCAATCAGTTCCTTCCATGAAGAAACTGTTACCCAGGAACTATGATCACAAAATTCTGAAAACTCCTGTTGTCCTTTAAGCTCACATCCCCCACATGAGCAGTTTTTGTTTATGCATTCATCTTTGAGATGCAGGCAATTTCTTTAAATTTTGAAGTTTGATATAATAGTGCCAGAAAAGTCTGTTACTTTACTTCTGGTTTTCATTTGCTACTTTTTAGATGATTTTTAATAAACAGTTTGGATAATCTTAATTTTTGCTAGCATATCAAATTTCAGTTTCTGCCTTTGTTGTACTCTTCAAACCTCACCTCATGTGCCTGGCCCATTACTGTTGGCCTAATATATAGCTTGGTGTTTGAACTTAATTTCTTGGTCATACCTTATTGCTTTCAGCACACAATTCTGAAGCACATGGAAGAAAATGTATGCACCTCTGCTGTCACCACACTCTAATCTATACGTACGTACACAGAAAAAGATTTCTGTAATTTATGTGATTCATCATCATCATCTTTGTAGGACCAGCTGCTTAACTTACCTTTAAAAAAAAAAAACCCAAGAAACTAAAAACCCCACCCCTGGTGATTATTTTTTTCGGTGATGGCATGGAAAGTTCCCTTTTTTAAGATTAAGGTTTTATACTCTTGC